TGATGCTACAGTATCCATATCGGTATATATAGTATCTGCATCGATATATCGCCAAGAGTATTTTTTTGGTATATTTTACTCAGTTATATTGTTTCAGCGCTACAGTTTGCTGCTCGTTCAGAGGCAGGAAACTCGTTTATGCGACACATTTGACATTTTCACTGTTTTGATGATTAAAATAGGTCTGTTTCATTAATTCATTCATTAACTTTGCACACGATAGGTTTGATTTGATTTTTTGACTTTTAGCATCGCAGTCATGATTTAGCCATTATTTTTTATTGAACCATATTGAAGCGATTTAAAATATATCATACTGAATCAAAAATGCACTGTATTGAGATATGTATCGTATCGTGGCCTATGTATCGAGGTATGTATCGGCTTGGCAACTTCTAAATGAGTGTATATACATGCACATCAGTGTCCCGGTTATTAGCCATATCCCGGTTATGGCAGTATTTGAGATACTGTGAACATATGTGCGCTGAGAAACACTCATATCCGTGTGTACATGATCAAATGGAGTATCCCAGTTTCTTGACATAATCTTACAAATGTGCAAGCTCTAAAATTAACTTAAATCAATTTAATAAACCAGAAAAAATACAAACCATAAGCTCCTTTAGCATAAGAAGCTCTCGAGGTTTAACCAGCGATAAGAAGCTATGAGATATCCCACAATCCACTGCACAGATCAAACGGATTCTTCATTAAAATCTTTTATAATATATATCTATAATATACATTATATATTAGGTATAATATATCTATAATATAATATAATTCAGCTTTGATCACATTTGTTTACATTTTACAGAAAAGAAACTTAAAACTGCATGGCTAATTAGCATAAACTGTTAGCGCTGATTAAAACAGCTCGCTTCTTGTGTGGCTGATGCAATTCAGCTTCTTTCAGACTAAGGGACATGACTCAGTGGATTATGTGTGTTCTTTTTGTGACAGAAGAGGCGCTAATGATGGTAAATCTGTTCTGTGCGTATACTGTATAGGAGATAGTTCATGTTTTAGCTTTTCAGTGATCATACGTGTGCAGATTGTACATGTGCAGGTTTAGCGCAGCTCTATATTTTACAGTCATTTCACTCATGTATGGTCACTTTATTTCTGTTGGTCACTATATTTATGTTGCTACTGTTGTGGTGAAAACACTGGAAAGTGTTTATCTTTTGGACGCATGCGCACTCAACTTTATGTTGCAGAAACTGGGATACTGTGTATACATGCCACAGTATCCCAGTTACTATCGGAATATACCAGCTATAGTATCTCTAGTTCTAATAACTGGGATACTGAAACCGGGATACTGCGTATACTGCATCATGAGGAAACCGGGATACTCAAAAAAACCTGATCATAACTGGGATACTGATGTGCATGTATACACACTCAATGATACCCAGTCCTAGTCTCGTCTCATGACAACTGTGTCTTGTCCCATCCCTATGTGCTTTATAAATAACGTGGATTGAATTAGAAAACCATTATTATTCATTCAACAATATTCATTAGTATTTGGCATGTGTTTTGTTTTTTTCCTCCAGACGTGCAGACAGTGTTTTGACAGATGGCAGCGCAGATCGCGACAGAGTCAAAAATATTTGCCTTTCCAGAACAACACAGTGACTTTTGAGACTGAAGCTGTGACCCTGCATTCTCCCGAGTATAATGTAGTATAATGTAGTATAATGTAGTATAATGCTGTCATACCCACGGCTATGCTAGCACTTAGCCCCATATAAACATTTTCAAATCTCACTGTAGCTGTTGAATTAAACATGGGCTTGGGGTCAGGGGCAGCACCCGAGGCAAGTTAGCATTTAAGTAGCAAAGTAGATAAGATGCACAAGTAAAGGGGACGGAAATTGCTTTTTTAATACCGCTTAGAAGATCGTAGTGTTGGCTATGCAGATAATGAAAATGACATTATTTTGCAATGATGTTGTTTCTTTGTATGTACAATGGACAAACAAACATATAGGTAAAACAATTTGAAGTTGTATCAATGTGCAAAATAGAAATCGAGGGCTTCTGGGAGGAGAAAATGTAATACATGAGATATGATACATATTTAAAATCTGTGTATCATTAGTTTTTCAATATAAAACCAAAAATAAGAAAACGAAAAAAAAAATAAAATATTTTTTTTTCATTATTTGTCTCCAAAACAAAAATGAAAAAAAACAAAAAAAAACAGATAACGATTTGTTTTTTCAGTTTTCAATTTTGTGTTTAAATGAATAATGGAAAAAGTGGATAATGGCCGTTTCCCGTTTACGTGCCTTAAACTGCGATGCCAGACTTTGCACCGTATATGGACTGAACCAGGACTAAACCAGGACTAAACTGTTTTCAGTCCTGGTCTGGTCCCAGTCTCAGTCCTGTTCTCAGTCCCGGTCTGGCCCTGGTCTGATCCCGGCCTCAGCCCTGGTCTCAGTCCCAGTCTGGTCCCGGTCTCAATCCCGGTCCTGTTCCCGGTCTCAGTCCTGGTCTCTGTTCTGTTCTGGTCCCAGTCTCAGTCCCGGTCTCAGTCCCGGTCCCAGTCCAAGTCCTGGTCTCAGTCCCGATCTGGTTCCGGTCTGGTCCTGGACCTGGTTTAGTCCTGGTTCAGTCCATATTTGGTGCAAAAGTCTGGCATTGCAGTTTAAGTTACAGAAATGGGAAATGGTCGTTATCCGTATTTTCCATTATTCATTTAAACACAAAATCGAAAACTGAAAAAACAAAACATTATCCGTTTTTTCATTTTGGTTTTGGAGACAAATAATGAAAAATAGTTGTTTTTTTGTTTTCTTATTTTTGGTTTTATTTTGATAAATTAATGAACGAATGATACACAGATTTTTTAAGTAGCCCTTTTCTACCTTAAAGCAGTGTACATCAATGAACCACCCATTCAACCCCACATATAATATACTGCGGGTATGTCTTGCCAATGGACATAACAACAGTATATTTACCTGTGGGTGTGGGATTCGAACCTTCGAATCAAACGGCAACCACTCCCTTTACCAGGTGAGCTACTGTCACCCCCATAAGTGCACTGGAAAAGTTTACCACAGTGATAGTACTACATTTTTTGGGAAAAAAAAAAAGACCCACTTTACAGAACATGTCTGAATCTGAATCATCTCAGTTGGAACATAATTGAAACGGGAGAAAAAAGTTAACATTAAGAAGAGATAACTGTTGCCATGTTTACACAACAGTTTTAATTCCAAATAAAAATAATCTAATTCTGAATAAAAATGTATTCTGCTTTAAAAAAACATGTAAACACTTAATTCCTAATGAAAATGATCAAATTCTGAAATAAGTGGGTGGTTTATTCCGATTTTAAAGCCAAATGAATTTATTCCTTGATCATGTTAATGTTTATTCTTCTTAAAAATAATTCTGGTCATTCAGCTCATGCTCGTTGGTTTGCACTTCTGACGCAATCCATGTGTTCTGGCTCCCACCAGTCCTCGCTTTGGACTTTCATCCATTGCTCTTTGGATTTGCGAGTGGGATGTGGGAGTGGGCTGAGGTAGAGCAGCTGTTGATTCAGTTTGTCTTCTTCCTCCCTTCTCCGACACTCTTCCCTTCTTCTCCTCAGCTGACAGACGTAAAGCACGATGATAGAATTTTCGAGCTGCTGCTTAATTCTCATCGGAACGACTGCGAGATCATGTTTGTGTCCATGGCATAACGACAAACCCAGAGTACAAAAAAGCTGGTAGCCAGATTAAATGTGTGTTTTCTTCCAGGAGACATAAATACATTCGTGTCCCTGTCCAATCAGACCCCTTCACAACCCCCAGATGCTGAACAGAATATAAAGGCAATTTACCATGTTTTCCATATGAAGCTCAATTCGGAATTATTATTTCCATATAAACTCAAAGGAAAATATTTTAATTCCGAACAATTTCAGAACAATTAATTAAAAAACATCATGTAAATGTGGCCTGTGTGTGGTTCTTACTGTCATACCACAATGTAAGGGACATTTCTTGCATATAATAATATAAACTAACTTAAAACCACAGTATATAACTTTTTAACCAAACTTAGACTAAAACAAAACCTTGTTTTTTGTCACTTTGGTTGTATTTATTTAGCCTAATTCATCAGCTGGTTTCACTTCATAGAAACTGTCTGACCTCGTGGTGTTAGAATTTTTTCGCTTGACAATAGGTGGGTACTTTTCTCATTTTACCAGTCGCTGCTATTTGGTCATGACGTATGTAATGCGCCGCTAACCAGGCTAACTGGTATATTAAGCTTTTCCAAAATCCCATAGGAAGAAGGGCAATAATGTCTTTCCTCTTGATAAAATTCACCAAACATTCTCTTTGTTCCGGCTTTAAGTCCTCGATCTCAGGAATTGTTGACAACAATGAATATATGGCTCTTCACTGATTGGCTGGTGCCCGAACTCGCACTTCCGCAGGTTTTGCGAACCGTTTAGTGTATTCCAATTCCTGACCTAGTTGCTGGAGAGAAATTAAATAGAGTGGAGGCACTAGGTGGCACCAGCCTGGCTAGTATTTATTGCACTGAAAAAGAAAAAAATATGCATCCTTACTGTGAGCAGGCTTGCATCTCAACAAACCTGACTTTTATTTGACCTGTGGAAGGCCTCCACGTGCTTGTTTCAAAAAAAAAAAATTGTTCCTTTAACCATAATTTTTCACAATATGACATAAAACGTATCCATCTCCATGGAGAATGTTCCGAAGTATGGCTTTAACCTTCTATTTCCGTGGAAAGCTACCTACTGTACTTTTAATACAGAAAAGTGTCTAGAGTAGCAATAAATTCTTCTTGACACAGACCTTGGAATGCACCTTTATACATTAATATGCATTTTCATTAGTCTTGCATGAACGTTGCGTATCCTTGAAGTTACAGTGTTTCTCAGTTGCATGCTACTCAACCTTCAGACTCCCATTCAAACTCAAATCAAATTAGAACGTACATGAGAAAGTACTTACAAGAAAGTGGACCTGTTCTCCGGCAGGTCCAGGAGAACCGGGGGCTCGGCCGTTTGAGCGGGGTTACCGGGTTGATTTGTGTGTGACACCGACTCTCTGACTCCTGTGGAAGAAAATCAGAAGTTAACGCATTTCAATACACTTTATAGCGAAACCTATTACTTAGCAGTCCTTTGTAACCCCTGCGCCAACTACCCTCATCATTTCAGTCACTCCCCCTCTCGCATTCACTTGCTTTTCATTACATCCCTCGCTTTGTGTTCATCATCTCTCCATTCCAATCTCTCACTCCGTCATTCTGTCTATTATAAAAATGCTGGGATAAAGGTCACGCGCTATAATGAGACCCAATTAACTCCAAGCACGTTTTGGTTGAATCAATAAGACCTCATTGTGGCCCTGCTTCCTGTATTGTCTGGCATCAGCTTTCACGGATGGACACAGCGAATGCCAGTTACCCCTCCTCATATAATTATAAGAGTGTCAGGAGTCATGGTCAGTGGAGGGGAAGGACAAGACGGGCAATACCCACAGAGACTCTCTCCTATACAAAAACACTATATAGGCACTGATTACATTTCACTAGGCATAGCGATCTTAACCTGCCACTAACCTGTCACTGTCAAAAGGCCCTGTAGAGATATATACTGAATAAGCAGCTCTTGAGGTCAAAATAATGTGCACTGTCTGCATCTAATTATAACATGTTTCATTGTTCGATAATCAGGACATGGATGGAAGTGATGGAAGAAGTACATGAAAAAATCAACTTAAGTAAAAGTGTTTAAGTACCAGTTTAAATTGTACTTCAAGAGTTAAAAGTATTTTGCGCAGAGTCTGAGATCTAATAAAGCTGCAAATGTACTGATGTTGATAAAGATGTTGCTTTAAATTAATACTTTTTTCCAGTTGTTTTTATTTGTATATTTTTATTTGTTCAAACTATAAATGTGTTAAAAATAAATCCTCAGCCTTTTCAGCAGATCTCAAACAATAACAAAAAATACTTTTGCTTTTCAGTCCTGCTCAAAAATGTAATGGAGTAGAAAGTACAGATACATGCTCTCAAATGTAGTGAAGTAAAAGTAAAAAGTATCCACTTTAAAATCTACTTAAGTAAAGTACAGATACCTACAATTTATATTTAAGTACACTATTTTACTAGCCTGATTCATCAGACGGTTTTACTTCATAGAAACGTTGCAGCATTAGAATTTTTTCACTCGCTCACTGGTATATTAAGTTTTTCCCAAATCCCATAGGAAGAAGGGCAATAACATCTTTCCCTTTAATAAAATTCATCAAACATTCTCTTTGTTCCGGCTTTAAATCCTCGATCTCGGGAATCGTTGCCAACACAGAATGTACGGTTCTTCGCTGATTGGCTGGTGCCCGAACTCACACTTCCGGGGTTCTTGCAAACCTTCTAGTGTATTCCGATTCCTGACCTAGTCGTTGGAGAGAAATGAAATTGAGCGGAGGCACTAGGTGGCGCCAGCCTGGCTAGTATTTTACAAATTTTACTTTATTACATTCCACCACTGCGTTATTGTGATGACAAAACTGCAAATTGGCTTCTGAAAATTGTCAAAAGTGCTTTTAAACTCAACACTGAATAATTAGAATGCACAGAGTCCATAAGGTAAGTGAGGAATAACTTTAGATTACTGCAAGAAGTTTAAAATGAATTAGTCCACTTTTTAAAAATATGAATTAACGTCAAGGTAAATACGAGCAAGCGTTAATTGAAGAATACTGTGTAAGCTCTTATAATTGCTTCTTTCAACAAACTGCTTTCAATAGAAGAGTTATGTCTTGGTCAATGCCAGAGTGCAAATGAGAGCCAATTGGTGAGATTACAAGAGCTGGAGTTTTCCTAGAGGCTGAGTGAGCATCTCGTTATTGGCGACAGTGAGAGAAAATACATGTTATGATTGTATTTTTGAGTTTTAATCAAAGATATGAAAAATGAACAGTACATATTAAATTTAAAGGAAATGCACCTGGTTTTACACTCTTTAAAACTGCCTGAAAAAAAGTGAAAGTGCTATTCATTCATTATATATATTTGCAGATTTTCAAATAAAAAACAAAAAGAGCAGCTTATAAAAATATAAAGGTAAATTTAACATAAAATAAAAAAAAACACAACAGTAAATAACTTATTAAAGGGGTCATAAATTGTCAAAAGTGCTCAAAATGTTATAACATAATAAAAATTCAATTTGAATGAAAACCAAACTGCTAAGAAGTTCAAGAGCCCATATTCCACTATTTTCTGATCTGTTGTAATGTTGTTTCTTCATCAAAAACATACCAGGATTTACGTTTTGTTTCATTCACACAAAACACACAAACCCTGCATATTTAGGCTGAGTTCACTCTTTTCCACCTTGTGATGTCATGTGGTAATACAGGAAGTGCTCCACTGTGTTTTTAAACTCCATCATCTGGTTCATTTCAGACCTGGAGTTGCCAGGCTCTACTGAACAAAAGGTAAAATGTAGCTGTTAACTTAAAAACTACCACCTCATGACATCGCAAGGTGGAACAGAACATTTTGAGCTTCAGAGATGAAACTAAATGAAAAAAAAAAAAACACACACACACAACTCTAGGTATGTTTTTAAATGAAGTGACAACATTACAACATGGCTTAATGCTCACAAGAGTCAGTTTTGGAATATATAGGGTAGAATAGAGTTCCTCTGTGGACTCTGGAAGATTTTTGGTCTATATTTCAGAGCGTAATAAACATAACCTTGGACTTTTTTTTTTTTTTACATCAAATAAAAAAGATTAACACACACATATAGACAACATAATGTCCATACCATATAGCTGCCACACGCGTACTTTGTCTTCATAGGGCAGGTCGTACTTGAGCGGGTCTCCCACAGGACCCTGGTAGTACGGCCTCATGATGGACTCTATGGCCGAGGTGTGCACCAGACCGATGGCATGGCCGAACTCATGCACCGCCACAGCAAACAGGTCCATCCCATGAGAGTCTGAGGAGAGAGGGAGAGAGATTACACTCAAGTGAGACATCTAATTACACTGTTTCCCTTTCTCATGTTTTATTGTTCTACACCAGGGGTTTCCAACCTTTTCCTCTGGTGAGCTACCTTTATGAAACGAAAATGCCAGAGAGCTACTCATTTCACTCACAAGAAATTGAGAAAGTAGAAGATCTATGGCACGCTCTAGATGGGGTACAGGTACATGTCTATCAAAGTTAAACCATTATCTATTTGTTAGTGCTCAAGTTAGGCATCATAATGATAGATTTACAATGGTAATTACTCAGATTTTAGTTAATAAGCACATTACATTTAATTCAGAAATCCTTTGGTGAGCTACTTGGAAAAGGGTGGAGAGCTACTGGCAGCTCCTGACCTACAGGTTGGAGACCTGTTCTAGACTAGAATTTCTCAAATTGTGGATACGAGCTGCCTCTGGTGATAAGCAGGGCCGTCTGTGGTTTGGGTATTTGCTTTTGATTTAAAATGATGTTAAAGGGACTTATTCCACTATTTTCTGATCTATGTAATAGTGTTGTTTCCTCATCAAAGACATACCTGGAGTTGTCTTTTATTTTATTCACACGTTTAACACACAAACTCTGCATATTTAGGCTGTAACTCCATACACCTTCACTAGAATCATGCCTGAAATTGCCAAACTCTACCAAACAAAAGGTAAAAGTAGCTGTTAACTTGAAAACTACCTCTTCATGACATCACAAGATGGAACATAGCATTTCGGGCTGTGTAGATAAACTAATAATAAAGGATTACTCAGACGTGTGAATGAAACAAAACACAACTTCAGGTATGTTTTGAGGAAGTAAAAACATTCTAACATGGCTAAAAGCTCACAAGAGTCACTTGTATAATATATGACCTTTTATCCAATGTTCAGGCCAGATTTAGTTGTGGTTTATATATGGTGGTACTCTGAAAGCCAAATATTATTTTGGGGTTTTGGTGTGGAAAGTTTGAGAAACACTGGCCTAGACGGATTGAATTTCTTTGTCCAATGTAGTGCACTTGAAAATTTCATAATCATCATAATCAATATTTCAGATGGAAAGCAGTGGTCTGTATACAACCACTATGGCTGATTCAGTGTTATTGAATCAGATATATTTCAACAGTATTTCAATAGAAAATTCACAGCCTGAAAAAGTTGGGTTGAAAACTGTTTCCGTGGGCAGTGTCTCAACAAATGAAAAACTATATTTTATGAACATTATTATCCTACTCTTATAGAGAGGATATTGGCTTTTTGTTTGTTGGACAGTTTGGAATATTGTGAAATCTCATGAGCCAGATCATAGACTGTATATATAAATGCACAAAGCTAAACCTCTAGCCACCACCTTCCAAATGGGAAGTGCACGGTTGTGCTTCCAGCTTCAAGTGACTTCAATGAAAAACCCCACTCTCTGTAACTGTTGCAGTGAGCCTCATTTGGTCTTAAAATATCTCGATTAACATGATCCTGGTGTTTTTATTTAGCAATTTTTTTCTATTTTGTTAATAAACTCCAATTCCTAATATTCCTATGGAACTCTGATACTATAGCTTTAAGTATCTGCAATCCCAGATATGAACCGATACCAATGCAGAGACTGAAAACAGCATTTATTACCTGGTCCCCGAAGGGCTGACCAGGTTTTGTATTCACCCTGTGTAACTGTGTGTGTGTCTATGTCAGTCGATAGGTCTGCCATTTACTGACCGATTGTCACCAAATTTGGTACGTGGGTCAAACCGCCATGCCCGATGCCGCAAAAAAGGTTTGGTGGCGATCCGAGGTCATTTGAGATCACACAGGTCAACTGAATGGTCACGCTATTATAAAAAAATTGGCAATTTCAGCAATTTCTGAGCGATCTGTGGGTTAAAATATTCACCCAATCATCACACAAGTTGGCACACACATAACTGGGGTACACTGGATGTTACAGGTTGATACCGGTCAAGGTCACTTGAAGGTCAAGGTAACCAAGGTCAAATATGCTTTTTTGGTCATAACTCCGCAAAGGATCGAGCTCGAGCAACAGGAGTGGTCTCAAAATCTCAGAAAAAGTATTCTCTATTTATAATTCTATGCATTTGTATAGTAAAATATTAATAATGATTAATTGTAATACTTCCTTTCTCTTTCAGTGTATGTATATCTAATTGGAACGAAAATAATTTCCATTTCTTCTTTTTCTGGTGATACACAGCACACTGATCTACAGTCAACTAACATATACGGAACTCATGAAAAAAGACATTTTTCTTACATACCAGTAAACACAGACATTCTCATGTGTGACCAAAATCACACAAATGTTCATGGGCTTGTACAGATACACACACTGCATTGTGGATATAATGATCATGTAATATGGGCTGGGCTCCTCAAAGCTGGCTTCTGTGGTGATGAACTGTCCCCACCGATGCCTCATGAGGGACCAGGTTGCTGTCTCTGATTGCGCTTATTTCCTTTAAACAAAATTAAAATAATCTGTTATATCTGTTTTTATTTCTCAACTAACTAGCTTTGTGTAAATAAAAGTTCAAACACTGAAACTTTCTGGGGCATTTATGACAAGGAAATAGTCTTATTATATACATTTTTAGGCCCCACCAGAATATCGTCTTTTTCAGTATCGGTACTAATTGAAATATTGTAGAAAAGGTTGATCAAATAGACAATGGATTAAGGGATTTGAGACATGTCGTAACACATGGGTTCAGATGAAGTCAGTGACCTTTTCGTGTACCCCTTTATTCCCTATTGATGGTGTCACATTCCATATCACAGTATTATAATTTTGACAGTGTGTGAGAGGCAGTTTTAAGGAGACTCTTGCTGCTCTCAGGCCTGTTCTGACACCACGCGCACATGGAGTTTTGAGATAACTGCGCTATTACATCCTGTTTGGGGCTGCCAATCACAAACAAGTACTGCACAGATACCTGGAAGGACTGCGGGGCTGTCTAAGCACTCTTCAGTTTACATTAAGCACAGCATAGGGAACCAGCTGTGTGAGTTAAAACTGAAACCTTGAGGGAAGCAGATTCAGAATTAGAAAACCGCTATGTAGGAGCGTTTAACCTTATAGTCGCCTTGAGGTGTTGGAGCGAATGCTATGGGGGTCACATGGGATATTCAGACAGCTCTAATCTGTGTAAGCACATGGTTAGATAGACAAAAGAATGAACGGGAAATGGGATTATGGGTAAGTAGAATGTCAGCATTATAGAATTGCTTGTTAAACAGAGTCAAACATGAGATTTGAGGGAGCGTACTCCAGGGCTGTACACGTGTTCTTCTTCTGTCAGGGGGTAAATTCAAGAGCACATGAGAGCGTGATTTGTTCAGAATGAAAACAGTATTTATTCAGTGGCCTTTTGCTGCACTCATGTCATCATCAGCATTCTCTTGTGATATGATGCTAAATGATGGCACTGCTCTGTTTGAAGTGCTGTTACTCAAGTTAGACTTTAATTTGAGGTCTATTTTAAAATCTTTCTATCATCACGGAGACCAAACCAGACTAAAGGTTGCCACACACTACAGGATTTTTTGGTCTGAAGTGATTTAAATTTTTTGAAGCGCACACCACAGACACGAGGAGAATCTTATGAGACTTAAAATCTCTGATCGCAAAGACTCCAGCGGGATATGTCTGTGAACCACAGGCTATAAAGTTGTGAGCGTGATCACATCAGCTGTTTCCTGTTTACAGTTAAACCACTCGCTTTGAGGCTCTTGAGTGTTCAAAGGAGCAAAGCGTTGCACTTTATTTTAGATACAAGTCAAAACTGTGTAATTATTATTTGTGAATTGTGGTGCAATACTTCAGATATCATGATTAATGCACAGAAGGTTGGTGATAAAGTACACAGGAAGTAGAGTCAGAATCGTGAATATGCATCTTCACCTCGATCCGTGGGCTGTGTGGATGTAAACAGACACACGTGAGGAAACACTCTCGCTTTTTTACTTTTAAAGAACACTTCAAACTGGATTAACAGCTCTGTTTTTTGGACTGGGTGTTATTATTTGCAGAGGACAAATTCAATGAATAATGTGGATGAGATGCTGCAGTTTAAATTTACAACTTTACAAGAGGTATTTCGCTATTTCCTGAGTTTGTATCTTGCGCCTGTGTCTGTCACTCCACCTGTTCCTGATGCTTTATTTTACTGACACCACACTGACACCAAACAAAGGAGCGCAGCAGCTTCAAAATTGTATATGAAAACAAAAAGTTAGGTCATGCCTCCCTGAACTCGGAGAGAATCAAATCGCAGCCAAAATTGGGCAAATTCTCCTGTAGTGTGTGGCAGCCTTAAGTTACAGGTCAGATCTGTGGGGAGGTAACCCTGCTCAAACTCAGAATGCCTCTTTTTCTAGATATTTTTGAGCTATAGTTCAGTCAAGTTTGGCAATTCCAGTGCTGACATTATCCAGATGATTTTAGTGAAGGTGTATTGCATTTAAAAAAACAGTGGAACACTTCCTGTATTACGACATGACATCACAAGGTGGAACAGAGTGGCTAGGGATGGGCATTTAAATTTTCCTAATCGATCACCAGGAGAATTTACGATCAATTTTCGATTTCGATTTCGATTAATACATAGGTCTCCATAAACAGTTGATAGTCATGGTCAGTTAAAATACAATCAATTCAATCATTGTGTCCTTAGGTAAGACACTTCACCCACATTGCCTAGTATGAAAGTGGTGTGTGTGTGAGTGCTGGTGGTGGTCGGAGGGACCGATGGCGCCGAGTGGCATGGCAGCCGCGCCTCTGTCAGTGAGCCCCAGGGCAGCTGTGGCTACAATAGTAGCTTACCATCATCAGGGTTTAGAGTGAATGAATAATGCTGTATGAATGAATGCTGAATGAATAGTGCTGAATAATGCTGTGTAAAGCGTCTTTGGGGACAGAAAATGTCTGTGAAAGCGCTATATAAATAAAGACTTACTTACTTACTTA